CCCCCCTGCTCCGTGCGCCCCTCACTGGACGAGCTGGGCAAGTACAGAATTTGAATGACAGAGGATCTTTAAACAGCACCGTGAATTTAAAGTTGCAGATGCTTTCAGCACAATTCCTAGGTAAACACCGCCCAGGCCCGTTGCTCTCCAGCTGAGCCAGGCGGAGGAGTGTTTAGAATCCGTCCTTGGAACTCAGCCTAGTCCGGTGCCAAGGGCGTCAGCTGTATTGATGCTTGTGACTCTTCCAGACACTGTTTTAGGTTACTGGGCACAATTCTGTTTATTGAAAAATGAACAGTGTGGTTCACACAGTTATAGGACCACCCTGTATTAGTCTGAGTGCTCTGGGATTAGATCCAGGTGTCAGCTGAATCAACTGAATCTATCCTGGCTTCTGACTCCTTCGGTTTTTCATTCAGACCCTGTCCCAAGCTCGCAGAGCAATTCCTAGAGCACTTGTAACATTTTCCTCTAGGAAGTCCTTTTCCAGCCGGTCACGCCTTTTCTAGTCATTGCTTAGCTCTAAACTTAAAGGTAAATTAGAGATTTAAAAAATCCTTAATTTCAAATAGTTATCTAGAGGGCAGGATGCTTCTAAAATTTGTCCATGAATCCTGCCCTTGATAGTTTCCCCTGGCAGGTGATATAAAGTAGGAAAAAAATAGAAATTTGACACTGTGATATTCCCTGCCGTGTTGTTGCTCCAATTTAGAATGACTTGATGAGTGAGAGAAAGGAGGGTTAGCATGTCATTTGTGCCTTTTCTCAGATCACAAAGTAGACACAGAAAGAACCTCATAATTAGAATATCTGTGAGGACGAAGCTGGCTTATTTATTTGAAATCGTCTAGAAATCTTGAATGTTCCAGGCAAACAGCAAGCCAGAAAAAGACAGTGAGATTTTTTGGGGAAAAAAAAAATCAATGGGCTGAAAAAAAGTATTCACTTAGCTTCTTCCCTTTTAAGTGGAGAGAGTATGTGGGACCAGCTTCTCTGTCGACAGTTTTGTAATTCTACACATCTCAGTCCACCAGTGATGACCTAGGCTGTGGAACCGTCCAGGGAAGAGGTGGCTGGAAGAAACACTGGAAAGAAGATTTAGGTCATGAGGTTTAACCACCAGGAATTCGATAAGTAACTGTCAAAAGCTCTACACGGGTGATTCCTTCAATAAAGTCAGAATTGGGGATTGTTTTGGATGGAAGTTTTTGTGTGTCTCTGTGGCCAGAGATCGAAGGACGTTCTGGCTTTATGTAATGGCCAGAGCAATACCTTGAGAGGAGGCGAAATCCATTTAGAATAAACCCTCTGCCAACAGCCCAGCCTGCATTTTCAGCCTCACGTTAGGTGCTCCCAGCGAGAGGCCCTGCACCTGGGCGGGATGCGCTTGCTGTCCGTGAGCCTTGGTCGGGGTGGCGGGGGCGCCCGGCCCTGGGCAGCGCCTGCGCGCTGCTGGGCAGCCCTGGGGGCTGTCGGCTCGGAGCCTCACGCGGCCTGGCGTTTGTGTTCACAGACGCTGTCGCCGCATCACACCGGGCACACTGACCGTTCTCTGCGGTCTGTCTGGGCCCCGCTCACCCTGTAAATCGCAAGTTCAAAGTGCACGGCTGCCTGAAACGCTCTTTGCATTCGAGTGAACGAATCATCTTTCTTGATTTCGGGGTTTTGTTTCCGTGAATCTAGCCTGACTTCGCATTTGCTATTTGTCTTTTTTTTCTGTGTACATATTTTTATTGATGTAGAGTCAGTTTATAATGTGTCAATTTCTGGGGTACAGCACGATGCTTCAGTCCTATGTGAACGTACATATATTCGTCTTCATATTCTTTTCCACCATGTGTTACTAGAAGACATTTAATACAGGCCCCTGTGCTCTGCAGACACATTTGCTGTTTGGATGTCATCTTCCTCTGTTGACTTGTGTTGTCCCTTTCCATAGGAACTAGAGTCAAAGTTGTCTCTCCCTCTGTTTCCGTAGCTTAACGTTACAAACTTCAAGCTGTTATTCTAAATGAAAAGGCTAATGTTGAACAATAATTGCATCATCTGACTAATTAAGCTATTCCTGTTACACTGAAATTCTAGAAAAAAAATGACCTTTTATGTCTTTATGTTAAACGGGAAAAGCCAAGGGTGAAACTTTGAAAGTTTAGAAATATTTCTCTCTTTTAAAAAATTTCTGCATTGGGCCATTGCCCATGATTTTGGTGGTAGACTGTCCACCCAGCCATGTACTTAGATTGTTTCTGTATTTATCAATACATCCCCAAAGACATCATAAATGTCTCTAAAAAAAGTGTCCTGTTAGAATCAAGACACGGTATGTGTATAATACTCTAGGTTCAAATCTTGAACCTGTAAGTTTAGGTGTCACAAAGCGAGTAACCAAAGGTGCCTGAGATAATGGGCCCTAAAGACATGTCTTTCTTTCTTGGAGACCAGGGACCATGTCTCATTTGCGTCTAGAGCATATTACTCTGGGCCTTTTAGATGAGACCACTGGCTCCACTTGTCACTGGGAGAGAGATTTGAGAGTATTGGTGGTCCAAGCAGAAACCTTGGACCCAGAGATGTAAGGCTTACGGATTAATAACAGAGAAGATAAACACAGAGTCGGTGAGCCAGGATTGTGCACAGATAGCACGGAAGTAGGCATGTGAAGGAGAAAATTTATTTATAAGTAGATCATGCGAGCAGCTAGCTCTTTGCCCTCTCACTCCCGTTGGGGTGTGTGCTGTGCGTAGCTGCGACCTACCTTTCCTTAATGGACAGGCTGAGGATCCATTATCCATTTGGAGCGCAGCTGAACGTCTGCACCTTCTCTCTGAAATAGCTTCTCAATTGGAATCAAAAAGGACTTTCGAATCCTGGGCATCTTTCACCCAGACAGTGACAATGGTGTCTGGGTAGCAAGTTCAGCTCTGGGCTCCCTGAACTCCCCCTGCACCCACGTGTTCCAGCCCCTTCTTGCCTCCCGCGGGCACCGTGCGGTCTTTCCACCCCTTTCGCCGGGTTACAGGCC